GCTCCAGCAGGGACACCCAGAGCAGGGGCACAGGGTGGCAACCAGGCGGTTTGGAGATCTCCAGAGAAGGAGCCTCCACGGCCTCTCTGGGCAGCCTGTGCCAGGGCTCTGGCACCCTCACAAGAAAGGAGTTCTTCCTCACATGGAGGTGGAACTGCCTGGGGTTCAGCTTATACCCATTATCCCTTGTCCTAACAATGGCCACAGAGTAGAGCCTGGCCCCATCCTCCCTATGATCACCCCTCAGGTACTTATACATATTCATCGGATCTCCTCTTAGTCTTCTCAAACAAATGTCATCCTCTGGTTTTAGAACAAGAATGAATGAAACAGCAAAGTGAGCATAACTGTTCTTAAGAGTTTAACTGTTGCTAAGAGTTTTGCAGCCAATGTGATTTAGATAGGCAGGCAATAATTCTCTCTACTGATGATGATCATAACAAAAACACACAGCAGAAAAATTGATGCAGAAATTAACTCAACAGTGAACTGTCACTGAAGCAGTGCAAGGGAGAGGTTTACATACTGATTAGCTTCCCTGCCATATCCTTGTTAGGTCTTGACTCTTTGGGGTGCTTGTAGAGGTACATCACAGCTCGCCCGATCCCACTGTGCTTCAGGGTCTCTTGGCTCACACTGGGCAGCTGGAAGATAAAAGAAAATAATGAGAATGTAGCAGGAAATGCCATCTGAACTTCAGTAGTGCCAGCTGTTAATGAAGTCCAAACATAACAAACCTTTCAGAAGCAAAACTTATTTTCATCATAATCCTCACAAAAGAATATTTATCATTGTACCACCGCCAATCAGTTAACGGTTGAAGTATCAGTCACCGAAACCTCGTGATCTACCTTGACAGCTTTGTTTCTTAAACACAAAGCAAGCCAAACTTCCTAAAGCTTTTTTTCCCAAATACTCTTTTGCCAGTATTACTCAAGAATAAACTACTGCTTTCTAAGCATCCATTTCACAAAGACAAAAATCTGTGTGGCAAAAGTCATCAAATAACCTCTTTGCTACCAACACCAGAGGTTTTAGTAGAGGTCTTATGAGAGGCTTCTCATGGGATTTTGAGAGGCTTCCTGAGCGCACTGCACACTTTAATATGCCAAAAAAGGGAGGAAAAAAACAGCCATCTGCCACAACAGAAGTTAAGGAAGAAATAAAAGAGCCCCGATGTGAAAAACTCATAAAGGAGCCCAACTAGCTACTGATAACTCATCTATTCATGTTGCCACAGAGAAAAAGGGAAGATGAGTGACAGCAGTTCAGGTTTATCAGGAGCGTAGAAATGCCACACCATCAGGTTCATTGGGAAAGGACATGGAAGTTATTGCATGCAGTTCACCTGCAACTGTCAAGCTCAGACTGCAGCACAACCTTGCAGCACAATTCTTGTGTTTTAAGCTTTAAAATCTTCTTTTGGCCTGCTGCTAAAACTATTTACTTTATTATACAAACAGGGATTTTTTTTTAAACAACAAAAATTAGGTGTCTACAATTCCTAGTCATTTTTTTTCAGCTATACAACATATCTATAATATAGGAAATAATCACAGAAATGATTTAGATAATTTTTAAACCAAACATGTCTACTCTGCAGCTTGCTTCTTCCTGTATTTCACTGCTAGCACTGCTAGTCCACTAGTCTAGGGGACACACTAGTATGTGTCTCCTCCATAAATTTTCTTAACACACATGACTGTAAAGCCACAGTGAAGCCATGAATCAAGTATGGTTATATTTCATTTATATGGTTATGGTTTATATGGTTATAAAAGTCAGTTCCAAACCTCTTGAAGGATCTTCAGAAGTTCTTCTCGTATCTTTAGTGCTGGCAGACTTCGGTCTGGAAGAGGCGAAAGCCACTCTTTGATAGCAGACATAACACCACTATCAATGAAAGTTTCTTTGAGGTCCTGCCTAGAAAGTTTTAAGTAAAGAGAATCCACAAAGTCATAAAATGTAAATTTTAAAATGCGATGTACAGTAGGACATTTTAGGTTACTTCAAGTTAAATAATCGGGTTTCAGGTTTTTGAGAGGCCACCTAGCTCCAGCATTTAACTGGAACGAACAGAAAAGGTGTTGTTATTCGGAACCATTCCAATGTTTCTCTATCAGCCTTCCAATTTCCGGTAACCCCAAGATAACCAACCAGCAAGATGATACTTACTTTTTAAGATGCATAACTACAGTTGGTAGCAAAGTTAATTTCTTTAGTGCTGGTTTCTTTTGTGTATTCAGCTGTCGATCCTCCTGCAGGGAGTTTAAGTACAACTTAATCAAGAAGTCAGCAACAACTTTCATCCCTTAACAAATCAATAAAGACTAGTTTATTACTAGAGCAGTAAACCAGAGTTTTGCCAAGCCCTCCTTATTACCTACGCACAGTTAACAAACTTTGTTAGTAAAATATAGTCTGAAAAACAGTAAAAAAAAAAAAAAAAAAAAAAAACTATGATAATTATGTACATTATTGCATATATGAATATAATGGTATAATAACCTAGAAGTTTAGGATGAAGGTCAGCATTCATTTCTTTTTAGTGTAATGAAAGAGATACTTCCTTGCCCTTATTCGTGTCCCAGAATGGTCTGACATGCTAGAGAACCTGAGACACCTGCTGTCTTTGACAGGCACAACACATAGATATCTAATATTAAAGAAAAATGTAGTGAAAAAGAAGCTAACTATTAAGATCTCAGCTGAAACTGCAATCAGGGGAAAAGCCCTTCTCAAGCAAAGCTATCTGCAGCAATGGAGCTCAATTCCTCCTTCTTTCCAGCTTTGTCTCCCAAATCTTGTTCTGCCCTTCCTCCTCATGCTATCCTTCTTATCTTCTTCTCAGAAATACTTTTTTGATATTTGCAGACTTCTTTCTGAAGTTCCCTGCATATTCCTCCAGACTGCTTGTGATGACTTTCACAATGCTCTGTGTTAATCTGACGGCTACTCCAACAAAAGTAAGAGATAACAAAAGAGAAACAAGCCAACTCCAATAAACATTGCACAGTAACATATTAAGCATCACTCCTTTAAAGCGACAGTCTGACAAGGCTTATGTCTTTCCCATAACTGTGTTTCTCTGGCATCATTACCACGATATCATCATTCAAGCAGTTTAGAAAGTGTTATGCCCTAACTGCTTATCCTGGACAAACCTTAAAGTACTACATATGCAAGTAACTGCACAATGAAATTAAAACAGTCTATTTCTCAGTGTTCAAGATAAGCATTCATAGTTTATAGTATATGCATTCACTTCTTTTTACAGACATTTGATCTCAGCTGATGCCGCTGGTTTAACAAACTCAACTCATTTTCATTTTTAAAGTGAAAAACTTTTCTGAATTACCACTAAGGAAAATTATCGAATATAGATACTGGAAGGTTTCAGTAACATTTTTCCTGAGTACTAGGCAGTCTTCTCTATCTCGCCTGATAAAAGATTTTCCCATAGGACAGAACTGGATGTTAAGGCATCTTTGGAACCTAGAAAACTCACCTCAGCAGCTTCATTCATCTTCACAATCATCGCGCTGACCACATCATCTGCGTCACTAATGAAAGTCCCTCCGTCGCGGTTCCGTCTGCGTTTGCCACTCATGCTCTTCTTTCGTTGCAGCATCATGTCAAAATCTGACATGAAGTCCATGCTGAAATGTGAGAAGAGAGTTTGCTGATGATCTAAAGAGGGTCAAGCCTACTCTGTATGAAACTAATGGCATGTATTTGATACCCAGGGTTCAGGATGGGCAAATTTGTCACTGAGGCTCACAAGAATTCTGCTTTCCTGTACTGCAATACAGTTCTTTCACTACTGGAGAAGGCAGGAAGGAAATGGGAACCGCGCAAGTCTTGCCACACCATATCTCCTGCTCCAGCAGAGAAACCACACCTGGGACTGCAATGCTGCTACATATGATCCAGTGCTGAAGGGCTAGAACTAGAAAAAACTGATCAAATGTTAATTTCACTTAGCTTTTAATGGGAACCACTCTTCTCCCAACTGAAAAGTGACTACATTACAGGAGTGAAGAACAAAACTTACGTGTTTGAGAACATACATTACTGTAGAGGCAGTCCCTTGCCTTTCTAACTAACAAGTCCAGTCAGTCTTTGGAGGATCCCTTTCAAAAAACTTGTATTTGCCAGTGACAGAAGAGTATACAACACACTGACTTACTGCTTCCCTCTTTTGATGTTATCATCAGAATCGGATTCATCTGCTGTTTCCTTCATGTCTGCATCAGCTTTCTCTTCTTCCAAGTCTTCCTGGTTAAAACCCTGATAATAAAGACAACGCCGGTCAGCAAACAGACTGGGATTGAGCATCTACTCATGCACCTGCCTCCAATGCTCTAAAAGCTTCCTCTAGATCCTCTTCAATCTACTTTTGAAGAGAAGCAAGACTTTATATTTTCACCTGTGACTTTCATAAAGATCACTAACACAAGAGCTACAGAAGTTGCCTAACTTAAAGACTACCTCAGGAAGTCCAGCACAAGTGTAAAGCTTCCCTATGGATACAGTATATCCCTGGATGTGAATTCAAAGCTGAACAGGCATTCTGGAATAGCTTCCCACAAAGATTAGCTCTGGCAACAAAACAAGAGCCACCCACAACAGCACTTACTGTAAATTCCTCCTCCTCTTCATCACCAGATTCTCCAAATATATCTGCAATCAGGTTCCTGCAAAAGCAATAGTAACATTCATCGCTGTTGACATCTATGTCAACATTCAGACAGCAGTAGGGAGTAAAACATTTTCCTGGTAAATTTCTAGTATGATTGCGGGGAGATCTACCTTTCATTCTGACACCTACTGTTTACCTTCCTCTTCCTACCTCCAGAGGAGGTGGACCTTCATTCTCTGGTTGGGATTCATCCATTTTCCATTCAAGAGCAGTTTTACTACCTGCACCCTGAAGGGATTCATAATCACAGAAGCACTTACTCTTGATCATTTCCAGATTCACTGTCACTTCCAAACAGATCTTTCTCTTCTTTTTTCTTCCCAGCATTCTCTTTCCTATCTTCTTCTTCTTCTTCACTGTCTGATACAGCATTTTTCTTCCTTTTGTCAGATTTCTCTGAAGCAGCATCACTATCCGATTCATCGACATCAGAAAGAATTCGCACTTTCTTTGCAGCTGCCAGAAAAGGAGCATTATTACTTGTCCTAGGAATAGAGATAACAACTGGTCCTCCCAGATAGCTATTCTCTCTCAAATTCTGTTTGGACTCACTAACCTCCCTACACTAAATCAGTGCCCTCTCTACAAAAGAAAGAGTCCAATCCAAAGTCTCTCTTAGTCAGGAACTGAATGTCTGTGTGTGTGTGCGCGCGCATATGTACACACAATGTATATAGAAATGTACATATATATACACACACACATTGATATACACACCTTCCCTATATATATATCAATCACATCTATTCATAAAAAAATGTCAAGACTGACTCTCACCCCTACCTTCAAAAACAAAACAGACCACAGGAGAAAAAAAAAAAAAAAAACACACACTACAGAACTAGAAAAGTAACAGTTAAGTATTAAAGAAATGGCAGTAAACGGAACAATAAATAAGAAAACAGGCCAATATGAAAGACTCTGCTAAAAAGCCTCCTTTCTTCTACCTCTATTAAATCTACTTAGTACTCATAAATGTTAGATACATTCATGTGCAAATGCATTTATAACAGTGTCTTATTCAAGGTACAATTGCAACCTAAAAAACAAAACTTGCTGTGGAGTTAACTGTACTGCTACTGTTTCTCATATCACAATTTATTTTCACACACTATTTTCTTACGTGTTTTCTCATTGTCATCCTCACTGTCAGAAAGTACGGCTGTTTTTCTTTTCACTGTCTTCTCCTCCTCTTTCTCTTCTTCATCACTGTCTGATATTTTTCGTCTTTTAGGACCATCCTCTTCACTGTCAGAGCCCTGAAATCCTTTTCTCACAGGTTCGTTATCTGAATGATGAGAATCATTCTGCACCTCCTTCCTGTCCTCAACATCACTATCATCAGACTCTACTTCCCGTTTGTGTCTGGAAACATCCTCGCTCTCGGAATCGCTGGCCGGCTGCTTGCGCAGCTCCTCGCTCTCGGAGTCACTGGCCGGCTGTTTCCGTAGCTCCTCGCTCTCGGAGTCGCTGGCCCGCGTGTTTTGCGGGCC